ATTTTGCCGGGCAGCTTTCGGGCAAAATTTGGCCAAATCGGGCTGCTCCTTGTATGCGGTCAGAAAGGCGCGGCTCGATTTGGCCAAATTTTGCCGGGCAGCTTTCGGGCAAAATTTGGCCAAATCGGGCTGCTCCTTGCATGCAATCAGAAAGGCGCGGCTCGATTTGGCCAAAGTTTGCCGGGCAGCTTTCGGGCAAAATTTGGCCAAATCGGCTGCTCTTCCTATGTGATGATATTTAAACTTTTAAACGTTTAAAACTTATAAAAAGCCTTAGACCACCAAAGCTTCTAAAACTTGTAAAAATTTTAAACCCTTAAAAATGTTAAAACTTTTAAACCTTTAAAGGGTGTTTTAAAGTATTTAAAATTTTTAAATTCCTTAAACTCCTTAAATTCCTTAAATTCCTAACTTAGCCCTAATTTAGGAATTTAAGGAATTTAAAGAATTTAGGCCTCTTTAAATTCTTTAAATTCCTTAAATTCCTAAATTAAATTAAATTGGTTCTGGGCCCTAATTTAATTTTTTTTTACATTCCTTAAGTTCCTAAATTAGCCCTAATTTAGGAATTTATGGAATTTAAAGAATTTAGGCCTCTTTGAATTCTTTAAATTCCTTAAATTCCTAAATTAAATTAAATTAGTTCTGGGCCCTAATTTAAAATTTTTTAAATTCCTGAAATTCCTCAAATTCCTTAAATTCCTAAATTAAGGCTAATTTAGGAATTTAAGGAATTTAAAGAATTTAGGCCTCTTTAAATTCTTTAAATTCCTTAAATTCCTAAATTAAATTAAATTGGTTCTGGGCCCTAATTTAAAATTTTTTAAATTCCTTAAATTCCTTAAGTTCCTAAATTAGGGCTAATTTAGGAATTTAAGGAATTTAAACAATTTAGGCCTCTTCAAATTCTTTAAATTCCTTAAATTCCTAAATTAAATTAAATTGGTTCTGGGCCCTAATTTAAAATTTTTTAAATTCCTTAAATTCCGTAAATTCCTTAAATTCCTAAATTAGGGCTAATTTAGGAATTTAAGGAATTTAAAGAATTTAGGCCTCTTTAAATTCTTTAAATTCCTTAAATTCCTAAATTAAATTAAATTGGTTCTGGGCCCTAATTTGAAATTTTTTAAATTCCTTAAATTCCTTAAGTTCCTAAATTAGGGCTAATTTAGGAATTTAAGGAATTTAAACAATTTAGGCCTCTTCAAATTCTTTAAATTCCTTAAAATCCTAAATTAAATTCAATTGGTTCTGGGCCCTAATTTAAAATTTTTTAAATTCCTTAAATTCCTTAAATTCCTAAATTAGGGCTAATTTAGGAATTTAAGGAATTTAAAGAATTTAGGCCTCTTTAAATTCTTTAAATTCCTGAAATTCCTAAATTAGCCCTAATTTAGGAATTTAAGGAATTTAAGGAATTTAAGGAATTTATAAAATTTTAAATTACGGCCCAGAACCTCTTTAAATTCTTTAAATTCCTTAAATTCCTAAATTAGCCCTAACTTAGGAATTTAAGGAATTTAAGGAATTTAAGGAATTTATAAAATTTTAAATTACGGCCCAGAACCAATTTAATTTAATTTAGGAATTTAAGGAATTTAAAGAATTTCGGCCTCTTTAAATTCTTTAAATTCCTTAAATTCCTAAATTAGGGTTAATTTAGGAATTTAAGGAATTTAAAGAATTTAGGCCTCTTTAAATTCTTTAAATTCCTTAAATTCCTAAATTAAATTAAATTGGTTCTGGGCCCTAATTTAAAATTTTTTAAATTCCTTAAATTCCTTAAATTCCTTAAATTCCTTAAATTCCTAAATTAGGGCTAATTTAGGAATTTAAGGAATTTAAAGAATTTAGGCCTCTTTAAATTCTTTAAATTACTTAAATTCCTAAATTAGCCCTAATTTAGGAATTTAAGGAATTTAAGGAATTTAAGGAATTTATAAAATTTTAAATTACGGCCCAGAACCAATTTAATTTAATTTAGGAATTTAAGGAATTTAAAGAATTTCGGCCTCTTTAAATTCTTTAAATTCCTTAAATTCTTAAATTAGGGTTAATTTAGGAATTTAAGGAATTTAAAGAATTTAGGCCTCTTAAAATTCTTTAAATTCCTTAAATTCCTAAATTAAATTAAATTGGTTCTGGGCCCTAATTTAAAATTTTTTAAATTCCTTAAATTCCTTAAATTCCTTAAATTCCTTAAATTCCTTAAATTCCTAAATTAGGGCTAATTTAGGAATTTAAGGAATTTAAAGAATTTAGGCCTCTTTAAATTCTTTAAATTCCTTAAATTCCTAAATTAGCCCTAATTTAGGAATTTAAGGAATTTAAGGAATTTAAGGAATTTATAAAGTTTTAAATTACGGCCCAGAACCAATTTAATTTAATTTAGGAATTTAAGGAATTTAAAGAATTTAAAGAGGCCCAAATTCTTTAAATTCCTTAAATTCCTAAATTAGGGTTAATTTAGGAATTTAAGGAATTTAAAGAATTTAGGCCTCTTTAAATTCTTTAAATTCCTTAAATTCCTAAATTAAATTAAATTGGTTCTGGGTCCTAATTTAAAATTTATTAAATTCCTTAAATTCCTTAAATTCCTTAAATTCCTTAAATTCCTTAAATTCCTAAATTAGGGCTAATTTAGGAATTTAAGGAATTTAAAGAATTTAGGCCTCTTTAAATTCTTTAAATTCCTTAAATTCCTAAATTAGCCCTAATTTAGGAATTTAAGGAATTTAAGGAATTTATAAATTTTAAATTACGGCCCAGAACCAATTTAATTTAATTTAGGAATTTAAGGAATTTAAAGAATTTCGGCCTCTTTAAATTCCTTAAATTCCTTAAATTCCTAAAATAGCCCTAATTTAGGAATTTAAGGAATCTAAAGAATTTAGGCCTCTTTAAATTCTTTAAATTCCTTAAATTCCTAAATTAGCCCTAATTTAGGAATTTAAGGAATTTATAGAATTTAAGGAATTTATAAAATTTTAAATTACGGCCCAGAACCAATTTAATTTAATTTAGGAATTTAAGGAATTTAAAGAATTTCGGCCTCTTTAAATTCTTTAAATTCCTTAAATTCCTAAATTAGCCCTAATTTAGGAATTTAAGGAATTTTAAGAATTTCGGCCTCTATAAATTCTTTAAATTCCTTAAATTCCTAAATTAGGGCTAATTTAGGAATTTAAGGAATTTAACGCATTTAGGCCTCTTTAAATTCTTTAAATTCCTTAAATTCCTAAATTAGCCCTAATTTAGGAATTTAAGGTTTTAACAAAAATTAAATTAAGGCCCGGCCTCCTTAAATTCCTTAAATTCCTTAAATTCCTAAGTTCTGCCTGAAGAAGCCAAGCCACACGCCAAATAGTACATAAAGGTCCTTCGTACAGACCCCTAAACCCTAAACCCTGGGAGTTGTAGCTTTGCATTCGGCTGCAAACCCTTGGGCCAGGAGCCTTGGCAGGGAACTGCCGCGCAGGTTTGAACTGTTTAGTTCGTCCCTGATGCAGCATGGGTGAGACTAGGTCTAGGTAATAATCAAACATAGCAACATCGCAACAATCGCAGCAAGACTAGTTGTAGTAATGGTCGTGGTAGAAGGAGAATACCAAAAACTGGTAGTGACTGCAGAAAAACGACTAGCTATGCTCCGGCAGACAATTCCTTTGATCGTCTGCGTCTTGTCCCCCACTGCCAGCCAACGACTCCGGCACTTCCCATTCACGACTATTATTACCGTGAGTACTGCTACGATGTTTGTTGCTGTAGGTGTTACTATTGTTGCTACGCCCATTTCTATTGCCGTTACTATGTCTACCTAAACGGCTACATATGGCTACTCCAACTCCAACCCCAACTCCAACTCCTACTACTTCTCCTACTGCTACGGCTGCTGCTACTGCTGCTACTCCTGCTACTACTGCTACTACTGTTACTACTACTTACTTCTACTCTTACTACTACTGCTACTCAGACTGTCATTACTACTGCTACTATTATACTGTTACTGTTGCTTTGCTGTGTGCTACCCTGCATTGCTGCAGGCTCTAGGCGCACCGTTGGCCTCCTCACCACAGGAGACGTAGGGGGAAGCCGAGCAGAACTGTGGTTCCCTCCTCCGCCTTTCGGCCAAAAAACCATCTTGAAAACTGGCAAGCCGTGATTTCGAAAGCCCTGTGCCAGGCAGGGCTTCTGGCCTTGAATGCCTGTATCACTTCAGCTCTTAAGCAGCAAAACCTTCATGCTGCGGGCAAGGACAAAAAACTTCCAGGTCGGCATACCATCATGATGTACCTGGCTCGAAGTTGGTTTTGTTCGTACAGGCACTCTGCTGGATAGACTCGGTTCTTACACGAACGGAGTTGTAGCAGCTGCACTTCTTCCGCCGGCGGCCGGACCCCGTAGAACAAGGCGGAGCTAAACCCCTTGCCCTAAGCATCGCTGCGGGGATTTGTCATCTCCACTTCGAAGTCTCTGCTCTAGGTCCACTAGGCCGATGTGACAGGGTCCAGATTTCCGGCAAAGGGCGATAGTATTCGCTCCCGGCGAGCCCCGTCCTGAACCCTGTGGCAACTCAATATTACCCTCAAACTATTCAACACCCACACCCTTCATTATTCATGCTTCAATGAACGATGTGTATGTTTCAGGGGCGCTGTTCTCTTGGCTTCAGGGTGATTCGGCAAAAGAACCACATGTCGGGGAGAAGGGAAGGGGGGTGGGGGGGGGGGGGGGGGGGGGGGGGGTGGGGGGATGATGTCGCAAATGATGTACTTCAAGGCCACTAGAGTCCCTTGTGGGGGGTCGTGTGTTTGAAGTCTTGATTCAGTTCCATGACTAGAAAGGACCTGGAGGGGGACCCTAAACCCTTTTTCACCCCGGACTGCTAAGCCGCAAATCCTAAACTCTAAACCCTAAACCCTAAAAATCTTACCCCTAAACCCTTTTGAAGACTAAACCCGAAACCCGAAGAAGAAGGACCTATGGACTCCCCCTGGGAGCTAGAATGTACCCGCTTTGCGGTTAATCCCCGAAGACGTGGTGCTAATTCGCGACCGACTCGACTGAACGGCCATCATGTCCGGCAATTCGCCTGGAGCTGGTGGTGATGGGTTTAGGGTTTAGGGCTTAGGATTTAGGGTTTAGGGGGGGTTCATAAGGGCCCTGCATGCTCGGTACCCAAGAACCCGAAGGCCCCTAAGCTGCAACTCACACGGCCGCTACATGGCTCCATAGGTTTCAGATGAGCTTTGGGCTTCAATCCGTTTGGCCAGGTGAGGCTGCTCAGGTTTTCTAACGCATTCTTGACGAATACCATGGTCGCTTGCAGATCCAATTCCGCATGGACATATGCAGAGTTTAAGTCGCAAGATCTTTCGCTGGTCGTGGTTTGTTGTCCGCCTTTTGACCCTAACCCTAAACCCTAAACCCTAAACCCTAAACCCTAAACCCTAAACCCTAAACCCTAAACCCTAAACCCTAAACCCTAAACCCTAATGATGTCAACTTGGTCTACTGCACACCCAAGCTGCGCAGCTGGAAACTTCAGCTAAGTTGCAGTGCTCTTCTGTCATCAAACGGGTGAGACATATGTCCACGTAACCTCAGTTGCCCAAGAAGCCCTCAACCCCAAACTTAGACCACGGCCCTGGAGGCCACGACAGTTACTGCTGGCCGCGGGCTTCGTCGGATCCGAACTTTAGGGGGTTAAGTGGGTTTTGGGTTTAGGGGAGGGGGCTGAGAGTGGGGGCGGGGCTATAAAACACAGAATCACTCTCGAGCCTCAGGGGGGGGGGAGGGGGGCCCTCGGACCCGGTTTAGGGTTTTGACTCGGAGGTTCATGGGTATTTATACCTAGGTTCGAAGTATGCTGACTACAATGTAGGGTGCTTATAACCCTACTTAGAAGTACCCATGAACCTCCGAGTATGGTTCAGGGCTCATCCGGGAGAATAAAACATGGGTCCCGAAGCAGCCTCGGCCCAAACTCTCGGCGATTCTGAACTGCGAAAGAGCTCTGAACACAAGATCGTTGTTTAGGGTTTAGGGTTTAGGGTTTAGGGTTTAGGGTCCGGGCTTGAAGTAACCCTCAAAAAGAAAGAGCTAACAATGCATTGCAGCCAGGGGAACTCATGAAGCTGCTCCATCTTTGCATGGCCTGGCAGACACAAGCCAGAGTCAGAAGAACCACACGCAAACCCCAAACCTCAAACCTTGGCCCTTCTACAGTACATTTTTAAAAAAGGGGCAGGATATGCGCAAAAACAGGCTGCCCAGAGAGCTGTCATTGAGCCCCAAGCGTTACTTGGGGGTTCCTGCATTTTGCCTGTTTTGAGGAACTTCTCACACTTGCCACCCGAACCGGGCTCCCGGCACAGGGCCTTAATCTTGGAATGAGCCAGGGTAGATTTGAGGCCATGCGCCTGTGCCTGACCACCCTAAAGCCTGGACCCTTAGCCCTAACTAAACCCTAAACCCTAAACCCTAAACCCTAAACCCGAAACCCTAAACCCTAAACCCTAAGAATTTCTCTGGGCGCCTTCTTCTGCTCCCGCAGCAAAATTGCGAGATCGATGGTCTTCGCCATGCCCTTGAGGCACATGCACCCGTGCACGAACCTGAGCTTCTGATTCCGTGAGGGTCCCTAACCCTAAACTCTAGACCCTAAACCCGAAGCCCTAAACCCAAGGGAGAGGCCCCACGAAGAACCTTACACACGATTGGACAGCCCGACGTTTTCAAACCAATCGCCACCGAGCTCTTCAACATCTTGCACCTACAGCACGCCACCCCCCGAAGTTTCCTAAACCGCAGCCGTAAACTGCGTCAGAGTGTCTGTCTTGATCTCAAGATTGCCGGGGTTACGAAAATAGGGGTGCGCTTTTTGGGAGGTTCCTATAAAAAGGATTATCGTACTTGGGGGAATAATAGGGGCACCCCCTACTTTGGGGAAACGGCTTCAAGTAGGGCTCGGGAAGGAGGAGGCCCGCTTTGACAAAGACTCAGCAAAGCCTACAGGCTCTGGCGCCGCTGCTCCGTTCTTAAGGGGCACTCCTTAGGATGTTGCCCCTTCTTCTAAGAGTCCTTGATGTCCTTGATAGGGATATAATAGGGGGTACTATAATCCCTGTTTAGGACTGTTAGTAGAAGGGGCAAAAATAGCTTGCCAATTGAACATGGACGTCTTCCATTCACCATGTGGCCCAACTACGTCAGACTCTCTGCACCTTTTGCATCAGGCTTCTCAAGCCTTGCACGCTGCACACCCACTTGCTAGGGGATTCTACGCCAGAAAAATCCCCAAATCCCCCACTAAGAACCAGTTAGCTCAGGCCCGGCCAGTTAGGGTTGAGCGTCTCTTGTCCGGTAAGGCTCAAAAAGATTGGGGGGTTTAGGGTTTGGGCTTTAGGGTTCAGGGTTTTAGGGTTTAGGGGTTCCTCTCTCAGGGTTGGCAGCCAAACGGCTCGTCTGGTTCGACGGAGCCGCTCCCATCGAGGTCGAGGAGCTTGAACAGACGAATTGCCTGGAGGACCATTTGCTCAAGAACCCCCCAAACAGCGAACAAATGTCATCCCTTTACTACCCTTATAAGGAAGACTATTTTTTTGTTGTATGTGGGGTTCTTAAGCAAATAGTAGCGGAGGACGACTCTGAGAGCTTGCGTTGGGGAGGTCTTTGGGACCTCGTCACTAGCCAATCAACCACGCATGGTTGTTGAGCAGGGGCTTGTTGTGACCGCAGCTGAAGCACGCAACCTAGGGCACATGCAGCTTGCATGAGAACCCCGCCCTCTCCCTCTGGCCACTCAGGGCCACAGAACGGGAGGGTACCCAACACTGAGAAGATCTGAGAAATTGAGCATTTGCAATCCGCGACGGGAAGGATGGAGGCAAGGTCTCATGACTGAGACATCCCAGCCATACTTTTCTGAGCTGAGAGAGCCGTGAACCAGCAGGATCTCTAAAGTATAAGGGTTCACTAAGGGGTTTGGGCGCAGAATCCGCGAGGTTGCTTGTCTTTTGCATCTGGCCTGCTGCGACTTGTCTACTTGTCTGAAGCAACGATCTTGCAGGCACGCCTTGCCTCGATGCCATCGAGCTCCATGCCTTACGAAACTCGGGGTGTGTTGAACTCCCGGTTTAGGGTTTATAGGGTTTAGGGTTTAGGGTTTAGGGCTTAGGGTTTAGGATGGTTTAGGGTTTAGGGTTTAGGGGCGGGGGGGGCGGGTGGTGGGCGGTCGGGCTCTTCGGGTCAATGAACTCATACAAACACAGCGTCTCGACAAGTCGACGCCCTAAACCCTAAACCCTTTTGCAGAAACCCTAAACCCTAAACCCTAACCCTAAACCCTAAACCCTGACAAAGAAGTGAGACCCATGGTCCAACCTGCGAACATCACCGATTCATCGGCTCAGGCCCGTCTGAACAGCGGGCTCTGGACTCTATGCCAGTATACGACTAGACATCAGTATACGAGTATATTCTGCGAGTACGACATTATGCACTACTTTATTCGAAAATAATACAGTACTGTATTCCTGACTTTTTGCAAGTCTCCTAGCAGCCAGCACACGGGCTTCCTAACTTAGGGGACCTAGAACTTATTCTAGACTAGGGCCCGAATCCCTACAGACTAGCACACATGTGTCACATGTGGGCGGCAAGAATATGGATTTCCTTAGAAAGCTCTCGTCTAGCCCTGGAGCCCCCACACGCCCCACCCTCCCCCCCCCCCCCCCCCCCCCCCCCCCGGTCCCTCCCCCCCAAAACGAAAAGATTCGTGCTTTGGCCTGGCCGCTATTTAAGAAGGCTTGGACTCGCTCATCCTCCACGTGGTCCAGGAACTCCTGAACCAACTGAGGGATTATGGATGATCTTGGTTCCCTAAACTACTATTTCCTTCAGAACCCCGCGCAAGAACAAGAAAAGACACATATCCCTCCATAAGGAAGAAGATTTCTTGTGTGTTGGGGGCTTTTAAGCCAATATTTGTAAACCCTAAACACGATAAGCCCTACAGCCCAAGCTCTGGGTCTTGGCCACTTGGCATTTCGGAAATGGGCAAAAAAACACGCCCAAATAGTTCCGGCGTAGTCATTCTCAGATGGACGGAAATCGAGGAAGCCTTGCGTCTCTAACCCACGCAACTTAACTTCTCCACGTTTCCTCCAAGAAAACAGCTCAATGGGCAAACGAGCACGCCATGTATGATCGAGCATTCGGCAGCCCAAGCTCGGTGTCATAGTTGCACAGCCAAAGCCGTGCATCCGTCTATTTCAGTGGGCGTTGACCGGGGTACCCGCTTGCTCCCTTCTGGGCCACTTAACCCACTTGACCCCCTCTGGACCACTAACTGCTTTTGCAACGACTTGATTTACTTGCGCTGCTCGCCTCTTGTCCCAATTGATCGTGTCCCAGACTGTGAAGGAGACGTCAGGCGGTGTGGGGGGTCTACATCGCCCAAGTCTACCCCAAGCAACCTTCGTTCCCCTTGTAAACACAACAGGTGATTATAAATACCTTGTACCTTGAGGCAAAAGGGAGGGTGAGTCGATGCTCCTTGAAGGTGATGGAGCCAGAGCCATCGGCGTCAGCCTCCTTGAAGACCAACATGGCGTCCTCACAAAAACACCGGCGACGTCATGGTTCGATTTGAACGCGAAGATGTGCAGCTGTCTCTTTCAAAAACACGAAGGCATGGCCGAACAAAAGTGAACACAGGATTTGAGATCTAGGAGTGCTCAGAGCGTGCGCAGGTGAAAGGCTTAACGGATTTCCTGCCTTATTGAAGAGGCCCGAAGCCTGCAGCCCTAAATCCCGTCAACCTGAAGCATTCTAACCCTAACTCAGTGGCCTGAGCTTCACCACACATGAAGACTAGTATGTGCGAGACATCGGAAGTCCTTCATGTATTTGTTGCGCCTCGCCAGTGTATCTTGGATAACCTGAGCCAGGCGACGTCATGTGCTTTCCTTCTCTCTGATTCCTCGACTTATGCAACCCGCTGCCTTGCGGCAAGTGCGGGCACCTCCCCAATACTCCGATAAGTTCCCGTTTCAGGAACGTTGACAGTAGGTCGACATAACCACGACAACCCACGAACTAGGTCACACGCTTGTGACGCGCCTGGCTACTTCTAAGGGGGTGAATGAGGTTATTTCTCTCGGGTTTGGCACAACTCTAACAAAAAATGGAGTTTTTTCAAGAGCCAAAACTATTATTTGCTTTTACATATCAGGCGTCTTTTTCGAATCGAACTGCTTATGTTTGGGGTTGGGCTACTCGTCTTGTTAACTGCTTATGATTGAGGTTGGGTTACTCGTCTTGTTAACTGTGTGAACTGAAAAGCCTGCAATTGGGGCGATGCCGACACCCTGGTTCTAACGTGAAAACACACCAAACGAGTGCCGCGCATAGGCAAGAGCCAGGGGCCCGAGTGCATCCTCGAAACTGTCAGCACTTCTGAGACGTGAACAACAAGCGAGGCTCTTCAAAAGTGACGACAGTTCCGAGGATGGCGCACCCCAGGTACCGCATCCTCGTAACTATCATCACTTTTGAGAACGCCTCACAAGTGATGACAGTCACGAGACAAATGCCTCATCCTCGTGACTGTCAGCACTTTTTTTTGCAACCACTACAACGAGGCGCACAGCTGATGCGCGACACCCGCGGGCTTTCGAACTCTTCGCGAATGCTGTCGAACACAAAACGCACGATGTCAGGTAAACTTCTGGACCTCTGGAACCCAACTCTTGCAACGGGACCCATCCGCTACGCTTTCGGGACAAAGGGTGCTGCTGGGCTAGTTTCCCGAAACTCTAAACCGTGACCCAAACCCTTTCTGCATGTGGACTCCGTACTCTAACCCTAAACCCTAAATACCCTAAACCCTAAACCCGCAAACCCCCAAAACCAAGGGACCAAGTCCCGGTCGTCTGCCGCCATCTTCATGGCGTATTCCACGAAAACCTCGGGCAAGACGTGGGACTCGAGTGCATTTTTCACCGTCTTCAACACATGGTTACCCGTAGTATCCCCCGTATACACTAAATACGCACACCTCGATTTAAAAGGAGCCATACGTACACTCACCAAGTCTAGATGCCGCAACTGCCTCCTCCCCCTCCTTGGGCCTTTTATCGTGCAAAGATATAGGGGTTACAAGGGGAAAATTTGGGTCATGAACTTAAGCTCCGGTATTTACCCGGAGCTCTTAACCCGTCATCTTTTTGTTCGACCAACAGCTCGTAACCGTACAGCTAACCCGAAGCTCTTGTAAATTGACCCACTAATTACACCGGTAAAAGGGCGCAGGAGGGGGAGAACTGCTGAAGAAGGCGATAGAGGATTCCGTTGCGTCTGCGGGTACTATCCTAAGGATTTTGGGGTTCAGTGTTGTTGGGCTTGGGATCCGAACTCTACTGGTGCATCCACAACCCACAGTCACATGCACAGAAACTCAAGGCCTCTACCTTGAACCCCCAAAAGAATCGCTGCACTTCCCTTGTGCCCACGACGCACCACATCGAAGGCACTTGATGCTACACCCTCTTTTCTGGAACCAACCATAGCTTCGGAAGCTGCCAGCAGGGTTCACGCAGTTGAGATTTCAAGGGCTCGTCTTCAAACTTGATATGCGAGGGGCAGCTACGCTCTATAGCAAGCTCTTGGCTAGAGCTGCTTAGAACCTTCATAAAAGCAATGTATTTTAAACTCCGTTGGGTTTTTAAACAAACATAAAACAACACATGTATAAGGATACTGTGGTGTGGCTTATGTACAGGCATAGTGGATTCCTGCAGTCCAATGTGCGGCAGTGACGACGTTGAGCACGGCCAGCGCCACAAGTGCAATGAAGAAAAGGTATCCCGCCGCTGCCTGTGGGAAGAAAGAAAATCGGGCCCTACTTTCCTTCGCATTGGAAACCCCCCTTCGCGGAAACAAAACAGAACATCCCACTGCGATCGCCTTTGGGTCCGAATGGCATAGACCTAGGCCAAATCCTAAATCGAATTCCACCACAAACACCCTTTGTTCTTGGGATTGCAGAGTACGGTTGCAGGCACCTTCGGTTTTGCAGAGAAGTGCAAGGACCCACTAATCCAGGTCTTTTCGACTGAAGCCGTTCGAAAATGCGGAGGCAGGGAGGAAAGGCTCTTCGTTTCAAGGCAGACCCGCTCCTAGATGGGAGTGCTACTTTCGGGAGGGTGAATATAGAAGCACAGAGCTAAGACTTACACCCGCCATGCAAACAAGTCCACGTAGTAGCTCTCGAGGGTGATGAAGACGTCGCTGGCATAGCCCCAATCCAGGCCCCCGCTGACGGACATGAAAAGAACCTCGTGCTGCTGCGAAGCATGGCACAGGTACCCGGTTTAGGGTTTAGGCGCTACAGCTCTTGATATGCGCCTAGCGCTTGCGAGATTTGATGCCCCCATGTCGTTTGCGAGGTTCTCTGACTGCCCAGCGCGGTCAAGTGCCACTGCTGCACATACAATGACATATAAGTAAGCAAACAAAAACGGCGGCGCCATCCCCAGCACGGGTGGCAAAGGCAGTGCACAGCCAGCAAGTGAACAATCTCTGAACCCTAAACCCTCAACCCTAAACCCTAAACCCTAAACCCTAGAGTTGGGCCAAGGTGGCGTAGTTCGTCCTCCAAAGGGAGCCGAACCTGGGTTCTTTCTGGAGGTTTCGGGTTTCGGGTTTAGGGTTTAGGTCATGGCTTCGGGTTCTCAAGTGCTGGTTGGTAGTTAGCCTTCCGATTTGGCAACTCTCCGAAGTCCCCTCCATCTCACACCCACAGATAGCCCTTAACAACAACATAGTCCGGGAAGTAAAAGGTTCTCGTTACGGGATGTTCCCTTATTCTAACTGTCCTATAATCAGATTACAGTACCCGGTTCCAGTACCCCCTACTTTTATCCCTATTAAGGGCTGCTAGCATAAGGGGGAACATCCCCCGGTTCTCGTTCTGTTGTTTTGTCGGGGGGGGGGGGGGGCTGATAGGGGACAGCGTTGGATGCCTGTTGGTCTTTCTCTGAGGTGCCACAGACTTGTGGTTGCTAGGCAGGCATGCCTCGAGCCCAACGACACACAAAAACTCGCGTAGCCCAGTTCCTTTTGCGTCTTGCATCGAAGCGTCGCCCACCATGATGCTTGGACTAAACTCTGAGCATCAAACCCTAAACCCTAAACCCTAAACCCTTTTGCACAGGCTTGTCTCAGCGCGCCCCCTAAACCCTAAACCCTAAAAACCCCAAGCCAAGAAGCATTGCCTTGATCTGGTCTTGCAGTTCTTGAAGCCTAGGTGCGATCAGCAGTGAGGGCAATGTTCCAGATTGCATGGGATTGGCACGTAGTTACTTGGTAGCCCAGTAAGGGTACACTTTTTTGGGAGTTTGGTTACTCTACTAAGGGAACCTTGAACCAACAAAGGGGGCAAAAGGGTAGCCCAAACAGCCATAATATCGGTGGCCAGCTAAGCAATGCAAAAACAAAGGACTCCAGCCGAGTAGGGTTTGCACAGGGAGATCCAGCAACGGGACATTTCAGCAACCGTTAAGCCATGCGAACAGCTCCGGCTTTGGACTTGAGAGGTACGGCAACTGAGGGGCAACACAATTGAACAGAGGTACACACACACACGCAAACGCAAAAGAAAACCAAGAAACACCAAAGGACGGTTTGATGGGCTGGGGGTCAAGACGGAGTTGAGAGGTCCGGCTTTCTATCGCGCGCCCCTTGCCTCTTTGGTTTGGAGGGGCTATGCCTTCTGGTGACACATTGTTCACCTTTCCGGCAGTTTGGCACCGTCAACGGCCTTGTGATAAACTTAAAAGACAACCATCCGTATGCTTACGCTTACCGGTCACTGCCACGTCACCAATCTTAGGGTAGTTCCATGGTCCTTAATCGGGGAACCCTTATATACCCCTCATGTACGCAGCAACCATATTCTGGGGTGCCCTTGTAAAGGGAGCCTAGAATCCAAAAAATGTTAAAGGGCACCGCCGGGCAACCAAGTAAAACCTTATTGAGGGACAATACGTTGCCAAGGGGCCGATGTGCATCGATGTGGCTATATCTCTCCGGTGCCATGTGCATGGCCTGGACAAGGGGTTTAGGGTTTGGAGGGTTTAGGGTATAGGGTTCAGGGTTTAGGGCTTACGGCTAGAGGATACTGACCGCTAGCCATCCGCATGGAACTGCCGCGAAGGCTTCGGGTCCAAGGGATCAATATCATGATAAGGGCACTTTATTTTTGGGGTTGGAACCTTGAACCGATAGAGGGCAAAGGGTACCACTGGGCTACCAAGGTATAGTTTACCATGCCTGCACGTGGTCGGAGGTGACTGTGATGAAGTAGACGGCGAAGCACCACTGGAAGAATCCAAGGAGCCTCGCCAGCTGAGAAGACCGAGGCAAGTGTAATCTTTGAAAAAATTTTCAAATGGCCCTGAGCCCTAAAAACAAAACCCTAAACCCTAAACCCTAAACCCTAAACCCTAAACCCTAAACCCTAAACCCTAAACCCTAAACCCTAAACCCTAAATTAAACCCCAAACCCTAAACCCTAAACCGGGGGGGGGGGGGGGCGGGGCGAGGGGACGGGGAGGGGTGGGGCTTGACTTCGTAGATATCGTAGTGCTTAGCCCGCAACTCCACGAGCCGTACCCTGCCTTTGATGCTAAGCCGCGGGCAGCTCCCAACCAAGTGTTCTCAGAACTTCGGGGCTGAACACCCTAGCCCAAACAAGGTTAACCTTCATATATAGTAGGATTCTGTATAACCAAAAAGGTTGAAGGTTACCGTTACCTACCCGGTCCCTGAGAGAGACAAGGCATGCATAAGGGCCTGAAGACTCGGACCAGATAAATCTCTCTACCTGCTAGACGAACCATAAGGGCCACGTCCTTCAAATAATGTGGGGGTTTAGGGTTTAGGGTTTTAGGGTTTGAGGGTTTTAGGGCCTAAAGGGCTGAGGACGCCTTGGCCGCCTTAGCCTTAGTGCAGCACAAGGTGCACAAGACACCACGTCAGCGGCATGAGACAGTTCCTGAGTCGCTCCGTGCATGGGGGAGAGTTGCTCTGGTCGAGGGTCGACACTGTGGGGCTTAGGGCTTAGGGTCCCTGTCTCTCTCTCTCTCTGTCCCTCTCTCTGCTGTTGCGCAACGAGGCCGAAGACATGCCTGACTGTTCTAGGAATTGTCAAAACGGCCCGGCTACCCACCTAAGGGCCTGGACCCCACCTCGGGACTGCGCGTGAGCAAGCTGTTTCACTTCCGGGGTCTGTGCAAGTTGAAGCTGGCAACGGCTCCACAGTGTCTGTGCACTCCATGATGTCATTCGCAAGCTGAAAGTCCAATACCCTGAGCCCTGAAACTTAAAAACCCGGAAGTGGAGCTCTTCAATCCTTTCGGTTTCAACCCTAAACCCTGAACCCTAAACCCTAAAGCCTCTTCGAAGTCCTGCACCAACACGCCCTTCAACCTTGCCACCCTTTCAGCCTTCTTAAGTTCTGAGCCCGAACTATATCCTTAGATACCCATATATGGTCACTTCTCGACAACATGGTCCCTGTTGGGGGTCCTTGCAATAAGGGCGGCCCCGATTCTTTAGGGTACCCCAAAAAAGGGACCATCATTTTGGGAACTGAACACATGCCTTCCAGTACCCCCTGCGAACGGTCGCGACTTGCATGGCAGGCTTCAGGATGGATCGCACCATGACCCGCAGCTCACCTGGGGGGTACCCTTTTTGGGGTCCCGTTAAGGGGATGGGTCCCTTTAAGGGGATTTTTATTCTATTGGCTTAGAAAAGGGTACCTCGATTTTGGGAAATACCCAGCTGAGTTGCCGTCTCCAGATCCGGCTCCGAACAATCAATGCCAAACCCTACATGAGTGGTGCGCTAAGGGTTTACTGTGTGTTTCAGTCTCTGGGATCCGAGCACAACTGAGTGTGACTGCAGGCCCAGGGTTTCTGAGCTGCTGCTGTCTGCATCATAGTTGCTTTAAGGTTTCTCTCTCTTTCTCTCTCTGCCGTAAGGTTTAGGAACTCCATTTTAAGAGGGCTCCGCCGTGTTAGAGTATTCTGGCACACTCTCCGTATCTCCTGGCGCCCAAAGGACGAAAGATCGGCATGAAGCGCACGGCGCGGATCAGCCGCGTGATCCGGAGGAGACGCCTTCCGGGCGCTTGAAGAGTAACAAAGGCTCTAATATTGGGGGGTGTTCCCCCCTTAATTATACTAACAGATCCTTAATAGGGATTCTAATAGGGGGGTATAGTCCCTAACTATTAAGGACTGCTAGTACAAGGGGGAACATCCCAAATCAAATTCTCTAATCTTGAAAGTGCACTACATTGAAGGCTGCGAAGGGGAAGAGTTGCGAAACCAGTGTGGAATTTCATTCAAAACAACCCTCGTCCACCCCTTCACGTGACTCATGGCCATCAATGTCTGGCATCTCGACTGGAACGCTTGCAGATAACGGGCAGCGAAGTCCCAGAAGCGATTGGTCTCTAAATCCCCCTAGCCTTCTTTCCCGAAATCTAGGGCTTTATATTCAATTCTCGTTCAAGGTTTGGGGTTCTGAGCTGGAGGTGTCAAGGTGTGCTCTTTGTGGGTATTTCGCATGTGCAGAGCTTAGAGTTCAGATTCAGGGGCGCGCACATACTAGCCCACCCGGTGCCATCGAAGCTTGGGTCGCGTGACTTCGGAATACCAGGCGAGCTGCATGATTCGTAGAATGGTGAAGGCTGTCATCAAATCACCGGTCTCCTTGGCCAGACTACGTAGGAGGACTCTGACGCACGGGACACCCAGGGCATGGCTCAGGGACTCAGGCTACTGGTGTGAGTTAGGAGTTGCGGGTTTGCTACGGAACCAGAACGTTAAGTTTTAAGATGAAGCAAGGCCAGTGTTCAGGGTTTGGTGGTCTAGGGAGTTGTGACGGGAGTTCATGTATGGCGTGGTAGCGTTGCATTGGAGGTTGGAACTGCGGAGGTTTCAGGGCTTTGGCATTGCTGGACGTCCCCAAGCTGTTAAACCTTTTAGACACCTTAGGCCATCCTCTCTACACTCTAAACCCTAAACCCTAAACCCATCCTTATCAAAAAAGGTCCAGGATTCTGGCAAGCGGCGGCTAAGCCTCAAGCAACGCTCGAAACCCCCAAAGCCCAGCCCCACAACCCAAGCACCCAGTCTATAACATAGGGCCTGAATAATTAGAATAGGGTTTTGAGGGGTTATGATAGTATCATGAATTGCAAGGGACAACAAGGGAATACTATTAGCAACTATTCCGAGGCCTATACTGGAGCATTGCTAAACATGCTCCGGTGGCTTCTGCAGCCGAGGTTCAGGCGGACCTGAGCCAGGTAGACAAGTCTGCCCAAAAAATCCGTCAGTTCTTCCCAGGCTTAGGGGGTGACCTGCGGAAGCTAACGCTCTTGCAGCTTAGGGTTCAAAGTCTTTTGGGGCAGCGTGCAAGAGTCACAAGGGTTCCTGGTAGGCGGGGTATTTGAAACACTTACGACTTTAAAAGGAACCCAAACAGCAGGTGCCATCGTGAAGGCAAGACACCTGGGAGTGGCGGGGCACTCATGCACAAAGCTTTCACATCGGGACTTGGGGAGTTCACCCTCCGGATGCAAACTGCTGCCAAGGAGCGCTCGCACGAATTGAAGAGAATCACCTCGGCGTCGCTAAACCCTAAACCTAAACCCTTAACCCTAAGCCCTTAACCCTAAACCCTTAAACCATAAACCCTAAACTGCCCTAAACTGCCCTAAACCCTAAACCCTAAACCCTAAACCCTAAACCCTAACGGCTGCAGGCTACGCATGCCCAAGTGCCCAAATGCCAGCTGGACCCTGAACAATGGAAAGCCACACTCGCAAAGACCCAAAGGCGACGACAGTTCTGCGCTGAGAGCTATGTGTGTACTCCTTTTGGGGAATCGGGGGGGAGGTGCGCCTTGGCATGAAGGATACAACCCCCACCGGAACGAAAGGAGCGTGGCGCGGGTGAGGGGGGAAGCCCCCAACCCCCGGCCCTTGAGAAAGAAAGACAAGCAGGTGGCAGAATGAAACGAAGAAAGAAAGACAGACAGAAGGAGAGAGAGAGGGAGACAGAGAGAGAGAGAGAGAGCGCGAGCGAGCGAGCGAGAGAGAGAGCGAGAGACAGAGATGGACAGACACAGTAACACAGAGACGCATGGAGCTTCTGTGCATAAAACGATGCAGGGCCCGAGAAAGCAATCCAAGCAAAGCCAATGCGCCTGGTACAATGGCTACAAGTCATGCTGTTCAGAGGAGGTTTGGAAACCCTAAACCCTAAACTATGAAAGATAAAGTCTTGCGGCTTGGTCTTGGCAGCTACAGCGAGGCTGGTGGTCTGGGCAGCGGAAAAGCTTGCACTTATGTCTGGTTTGCTCCGGCTTCAGTGCCCCACCCTCGAATTATGCTACACGCCCGCACCGGTTCAAGAGGTGTCGTTTCTCGACCCCCTTCTGCTCAACCTCACTAACCACAACTCGTCCTGAGCACTCAGAACCTAGCCAACAAAACACAACTCGAAACACTGCGAGGTCGTAGATCTGAATGTACGCTGCACGGATTGCCTTTCCGAGGGGTTTCCCTCCGAGCGAAGAAATTCTGATGGTGCTTACACTTGTCTCTGTCTGTCTGTCTGCCTGTCTGTTTGTCGGTCTGCTCATCCGAGTTTGAAGATTACGTGCGTATCTACATCATAGATGCTTATTCGGAACGAAATTGAATCTTCGGGTCGCGACAGCTTGCCAAGATTTCTTCAGCAAGCATGTTTGTCGGGGGAAAGCGTAGATGTAAGGGCTGAATCATTTCCCTAGCCCAAACAATGTGAAGCATTTTTTTGTTTTAAATAGGGTCGTGTACAACCAAAAACTTTAAAGGTTAAGTACCCAGCCCTAGGTTTTGTGTTGCTCGGTGAGCATGGGGCCTACAGGTTCTACAATAGATGCCGAGTTGCGCCAGAAAGGATCTCCTCACCAATCCCGCTGAGGATCACCAGAAGGTCGAACCAGTTCCAATACCTCCGGCGACTAGACCCTACACCCTAAACCCTAAACCCTTTTTTTGAGCAACGGACGAAACCCTAAACCCTAAGCCCTAAGCCCTAAACCCTAAACCCTAAACCCTAAACCCTAAACCACGCCATTCAGCGAAAGTGTAAAAACGTCTGAGCCAGGATGCTCCTAAACCACAAAGCCCGAAAACCCAGCCCCGCAAGAAGAGCCTCAAGTCGCCAGCCCTAACCTCCAGAGCATCCTAGGGTTTAGGGTTTAGGATTTAGGGTTTAGGGTTAAGGGTTTAGGGTTTACCTATGTGCACCAACTCCCTCGGAATCTGCCTGTCGTGGCCGCAGAAGAAGGTCTTCACCCCAAAGGCTTGCAATCGCACCAAGAGCCTGTGCTCGGGGCGCTACTACGAGTATTACGAGTTGCCTAAGAACCCCCAAAAAGTTCAAGCATTCTTCCTTATCAGGGTCCAGGGTAAGACAAGGATTTTTATCGTTGACGGCCCCCGTCATGCTCTATGCTGTTGCCCCGTGGAGCTTGGCTAAACGAGTGGCACAAAAAAGCAGACTTCTTCGTAAGGGAGTCTTGGTTGATCGGTATTACTTTATGGTTTTCACTGTTATAAGTTAACAAAATTTACAGATTCTCTCAGGCGAAAACTGATTTACCAAACTTAGCGGAAACTGCAAAGAGCAAGAAGGTTTGGGGTTTAGGGTTTAGGGCCACGGCTTCTTGTGCGACCTGCCTAGCCTCGCGCGCACTGCAGGGATGCAAATGCACCCGCTAACCAACCCTAAACCCTAATGTCGACAATTGATAAACCGACCATCTCAGACCCGTAGCCTGTCGACCTTACACAGTACTCCCAGGGCCCTTGGGAGAGTCCAAGAAGTAGATCATTTTAGGGGGTTCCTAAGAATGGCCCAATAGTCTCAGAAGTATAGGGGGTAAAAAAGTAGATCCCTTTAAGGGGTTCCTATAAGAATGGCCCCATTTTAGTCCAGGCGTACTATTTGGGGGTTCTACTTTTTGGGATCCTCCCCGAATTCTGGGATTGTTCAGGGGGGCCAGAGCCTTGTTGAATTAGGGTGTAGTCCTCCAGGGGCGGGGACGGGGCTCACCAAGGGCACCCTGCACGAGACAACAAAGAAAAAGCATGGGGACCGGTTGCCGAGAAGCTCCAAGACGAAGAGAACGTTGCAAACGAACCTCAGGTGGTGCTTCATCTGACACGCGACGCTTTCATTTACAAGCACGGGCTATCGACACTTGAACCCCTAAGCTTGCTTTCGAATCTGGGCTCTGGACGGGTTCTAAACCTCCCTGGTGAAACCCTGGAACTCTTGAACTAGTCTTTGCTTAAACTTCTGCGCTCAACTAGGGTTTCGGTTCACTCGGTTGAGTCTGAGCGACACCAACTACCATATGCTAGGTACTTCAAGGACTTCTTAATCTGGTTCCCAAGCTAGAATCCCAGGACAAAACTGTGCACATTTCACCCTGAAGACACCGAAGCGCCACGAGAGCCGATGCCTCAACGGAACACACGCAAGCAGTGCTGGATCTTCACCATGATTCGGGGTATGCTGCAACATACGGATTCCGTGTATACTTGGAGCCGAAACATAGTTTGGGACCTGCGGTTGTAGTGCTCGGTTCGATTCCCACATCTTTCTCGAACGCGCCCCGCGCCAGATCACACAGACCTGTGCTGCCAAGGCGCTGCATTGTCACCTTGTGGGCAGGAGACCCTCAACACTACACCCATCCTGCAAAAGGGTCGTTCTCCAAATTCGGGGTCCCTCTTTGGGCCCCCTATCTGTAAGGTCGCACCCTTATAGGGAAGGACCCCCCAAAAAGGGGGCCCTAATTTAGAGAACTACCCATACGCAGGCAATTGCCTCCAAGATGATGGAGAAGCTCGCGCTCTACAAGGGATGTCTTCGTGTTTGAGGCGGGGGTCACCAGTCCAAGATTCTTGTGATGGCAGGACTTTCGAGGCCCCGACATCAAATACTTCGTTCTCACCCTTTTTGGCGTCTTGTTTTTAGGTTTTAGGGTTGAGGCACCGGCTATACCTTTCTATCTCTACCTCTTTTTTTGCGGACTTCGACTCAAGAAACTAGTAGCTCGCTCTCCGCCGACTCTCAACCTTCTCGACAGCAACCTGGGAATAAGCAGGGTAGAGGAGCCTTAACGATTAGAACAGGGGTTTGCGGGGGGGGGGGGGGGGGGGGGGGGGATTCCAATGTAATTATGTAGGGACCATCAGGGAAGACTAGTCACTATTCCGACCCTTATAAAACCTTTTTTGGTTTAAAGTGGCTGAGAGCCCACAAAAAGAGGAATAAGGGCCGACTCTGAGTCTTCCGTATAACAAAAAGAGTAAGACATTTATTACATGTAAAGTTATATTAGGTCATTCAACTCTTGTTATCTTTGACGTCACAGCCACAGCTCTCGGTTCAGAAGCTGGGACCTACATAGTTCTCAGGAGGGTTCAGGGTTTAGGGTTTAGGGTTTCTGGCTACGTGGAGGAGATTGGGCAACAAAAAGCCTTATCGACTCTCGATGCGCAAATGTTCATGGGGGTCGGCTTCAAAACTCGGTGCTGCATGTTCGCCACTAAACTACAACTTCTTGCGCGTACTGTAGGGGCCTGAAAAAGCTGGAACAGTTTTTTGTGTTTCCTTTTCTTTTGGGGGGGGGGGGGAGGTTATTACAGAATAAATATACAGGGGCCATGAGGCAATACCATTAGCAATTCTTACCGACCCCGAGAGTATGTCCACAAATCGCTCTAGGACAGCGGCCCACCAGCCGCCGCAAGCGTTGACGGGATCGCGTGCCCGCTGATCTGCCTGGCAATCGTTCCACAGCTGTAGGGAGAACACGCACGGTTTAGGGTTTAGGGTTTAGGGCTTAGGGTTTTTAGGGTCTTGGGATTGCGGCGTGGGCTGCCGGGTTATTGCAATTTCGGTGTGAGCCATGGCAAATGCAACTTTGCTGCGAAAGTTCTGGGGCTTCTAGCTTTCGGGCTGTTTCAACCCCTAAACCCTAAACCCTAAACCCCAAACTCCCAAACGGGTAACCCCCCCCCCCCCCCAAATCAGCCTCCATGCCGACACTGAAGCAGTGGAGTAGGATGATGAATCCCGACAGCTGATCCTCGAATGTACGCCAAGGGACTAAAGGAGGGACCCCTGTAAGGGACCTTAGGGGGGTTCTTTGGGGGCCCTAAACCCTCAACCCTCAACCCTCAACCCTAAACCCTAAACCCTAAACCCTAAACCCAGGGTATATAGGAACTATAACTTCCGCAGCTTCTCTTGCCCGTATATGAAACACTAAACCCTCTAAACCCGACACCCCAAAAAAGGTACACCCCCAACTCCCATTCTAAGAGTCAGGGTTTTTGGGTTTGGCACATGCTCAAAATTAGAATAGGCAGGTGTTTAGGCACTCAAACCCTAAACCCTAAACCTCAAACCCGAAACCCTAAACCCTAAACCCTTATGAACCCCAGGTCTGGCAAAGTACCTGCGTTGACTTGTGTCTTGGCGTTAAAGATGCAGATGTCCAAAACCAAAGTTTTCGCACCAAAAAATCAACATTAAAACAAGAAGCAAGAACAAACGTTTTGGGGCGAGCACTTCCAGAACTCCCAAAATTCCTGCCACAACTTCATTGCCGACAAGGCACAAAGCCCGGCGACACAATGAACCGCTGGCATCTGCCTAAGGCTTTACTACTATTTGCTTATAAGAACCCCTCCAAAAAAAAAGAAAAACATTAATCCCTGTATTACCCTTATTATGAGGAAGAGTATCTTTGTACGCGGGGGTTCTCAAAGCAAAGAGCAGTTTAGGGTTTTAGGGCTCGTCAGCCGCGGCCCAGCCCTGGACTCCCTGAGCTCCGACATCGATCCCCGCAAACTTGCCGAGAAATAGCAAAAAACATAGCTAGTTGATTTACGAGTCCCTGATTCAATGAATTCTAACGGTTTAGGGTTTAGGGTTTAGGGTTTAGGGTTTAGGGTCCTATTTGACCATAAAGGTCGGGGGCGCCGGATTCCAGGGTCCAGGAAAAAATGACGTTGAGCTGTTGGCGACCTGGGGCTTCCTCCCGGGTTCTTTAACCCTAAACCCTATAAACCCTATAAACCCTATAAACCCTATAAACCCTATAAACCCTATAATTCCTGTAATTCCGATAATTCCTATAATTCCTATAAGCCCTGTAAACCCTATAAACCCTTAAAACCCTATAAACCCTAAACCCTAACAGGGTTGGTGGTTCGGGGTTCATGTGGTGGAGGGGTCAAGAGAGGTCAGGGCCCAGTTGTAAGGGGGAAACACAGGTCGTCCGCACCTAGCCCTCATGAGGTCAACGCTGTCTTCTCTACCCAGACCCCTGGGAGGATCCAAAAATTAGATCCCCTTGAGGGTTCCTAAGAATGGCCCAATAGTAGTATATGGTACTATTTGGGGGTTCTATTTTTTGGATCCTCCCAGGGGTCTGGGTACGTCTCTATCCTGGAACTTGCCAGCGCGTCTGGCACACGACTTGTCTTCTACTGCAGCCCTTGCGCTGAAGACGGATCCCACCAAACAATCACAGCTCTCGAGCAGGATGAATCGGTCACGCAGCCTGCCCCTGTATCTTGTGCGTGTCTTGTTTCGTGCGTTGACATGATTCCGTCGTTCGAGGTGGAGTTGTGCGTGCGCGCAGTGAGATCAGCTTGCCTGCAGAGTGAGGCTCCATGTTGGTAGAAAACACTGCTGCAAGTACCAAGCTCGTTCAACTATTCGCCTCCGAGCATCTTGAGAGTGAGAGGTACCGAATCACTTCCTGCATACAGGCTGGGAGCCCAATCCCCTGCAACACGAACACGTGGCGAGGAGCTCATGCTGGCCCGGGCTCGCGCGCGTGCATTGGTGGAAATGGCCTCGCCCTGTCCGACCTGGGTGCCGAGTCATGGGGTGTGGGTGTCCGCATCTAGGGGTGTGTGCTCCCACTCTTGGTTGTTACCCTCGGCATGGCATGGACCTGTCCAGGGCAAGTCGGGTTTCTAGGACTGACTTCCATGAACGAACCAACGGCCCAAAGGCCTCTACCAGGGCTACCAGGAATCATATTGAATCTTCTCCTCCCCTATTGGTTGTTGGTTGAGGCCGCCCTTGGAATCTGACCTGCATTCGCTGACGCTTTTCAGCTAAACCCTAAACCCTAACCCCTAAATTAAAAAGAATCCCTCTTCACATCAGTCTGGGACGGGTACGAAGGGTCTCTGTGATAATGGGGTGGGGGTTTGTCCATCTTGCCGCAAAGAGGCCATGATTGAGAGAAGTGACACATGCTTGCCTGCGATTACAGCCCCTGCGGGCTTTCGCCCCTGCCTGTGTAATTCAGCCATCCCAAACCCTAAGCCCTAAGCCCTAAGCCCTAAGCCCTAAGCCCTAAGCCCTAAGCCCTAAGCCCTAAGCCCTAAGCCCTAAGCCCTAAGCCCTAAGCCCTAAGCCCTAATGGCGAAGCGAAGCCATCCGAAACCTCGAGGCCACTGGCCTGATCTGTTGTCATCTTGTGCTTCTCCATGTTGTTGGGGTCAAAACCTTGGGCAGGCTTAGGGTTTTGGATGTCGAGGACTTAGGGACACACAGTGTTAGGGCTTAGGCTTTTTGTTGGTTTCGGGCTTACTGGTTTTGGTGTTTTGAGTTTTGGTGGTCCATTGGTATCCCCCTCGCTCTATTTCTTCTTGTCTTCTCTGTTCTTCTTCCCTTCCATCCCTTTCTCTCTCGCTTCTCTTTTGAAGCCCGTGCTTCTTCAGATGCGCATGGGGCTCGAGGTGATTGTTGAGTTGGGGATTCGAGGTTTGGAGCGCAAGACGCCGAATCCATGCGGCCTGTTGGGTCAGTCTTGCAATGAGTGGCCCTTATATCAGCGCCAGCACCAGGGACAGTCATTTCAGGTCGAATGCTTCGACCTGCATAAGAAACCTTGAAACCTTTTGAGGCCGGACTTCTTGGTGTCGGCTTTAGGGGTGCAATTTCGACTCCCGCATTTCAAACTGGGGACCCCGGGATTGGACAAAGCCAGCCCCTCAAAACCCTGCTTTTTGATTAAAACCCTAAACCCTGGAATGCCGGAAGCAAAGATCTCGGGCCGAGCCAGTGCATAAGCAAATCATCTCTACGTATCCTGGACTCAGAGGCATACATACTCAATCATACGCGGTAAATGAATTATTCTAATTATGCGAACCAGATTAATTATTTTAATTATACTCATTGCGCGATATACAGATATACATCTATATATATATATACACATACATATATGTGCATATATATATACATAACTCTGTTTTTATAACTTATGCTACTTATGCGAATCATATGAATCATAACTCTACAGCCCCCCCCCCCGCCCGCCCCGCCCCCACCCAATCCTGCCCCCCTCCCCTTCCCCTTACTGCGGGTCGGGGCACCCATGACCTGTTTTATGTCCCAGGGTTCCATCAGTTCATCCTCTCCTTCGCGCCAGAGGAGGGCAGCGTTCACGGACTTGCCTTAGCTGCGGACCCCCCCCCTCTCCCCCTTCACTTCCTTTTCTCTCCCTGCCCCCCACAGGACTCAGGACTACACCTAAACCCTAAACATCCCTAAACCCTAAACCCCTTCTTTTTAAACCCTAAACCCTAAGCCCTAAGAACAGAAACATTAGGAGGTTTGGGATGTGGGGGTACCCCACCCCTTCACCTCGGCAACAGGGCGTAGGCTTTTAGTTTTTGCTTTTGCCACCTGCCTAGGGGGGGGGTTTAGGGCCTTGACTCTCACACTGGCGCGAGGCAGGCGAGGTCGAGGTTCGTCAAGTGCATCTCGGGACTTAGGGTTTAGATGGTTTAATTAGGGTTTAGGGTTTAGGGTTCAGGGGGAACTCCCTGAATCAGGAGGTGAGATCTCGCGGCCAGCCCTCATCGATCCCAGACAGCCTCATGCTAAAGTCACGGTGAGGCCGTTGGACCCGTCCCAAGCAGGGCTTCGATCCCTAAAAGCCTTAAAGCAGGGCCAGGGACGGCCGCCGTCGCGGCTGGATTTCTCCTGAGCTTGCAGCATTGTACCAATATACGATTGTGGCATATGGGTAGTTCTCTTTTCTTAGGGTCCCTAAGTTAGAGAACTTCAGAACTACCCACATTATTTTCATGTTATTACACCATTCTACTATATCCGTGTGGGGCGCTGTGGAGCTGCAGATTTCGTTTCCGGGGAGTTGGAACGCGAGCCTGGCCAAAGGGTTCGTCCCTGCCTTGTACAGGGTGCAGGAATTGGGGGCTCGCAGATGTTGGCAGAACTCGTTTAGGGTTCACTCGGACTTTAGGAAGTAGGGTTTAGGGTTTAGAGTTTAGGGTTGCGATGGCTGCTGGCTTATGCTACGGGCGCGTGCGATCCTGCAAGTTCCTAGCCCAAATCAAGGGTCACGAGGCTAAATCCTAAACCTCCTCTCGATCTTTGCCGAAGCTTCGGTGTCTTTGGCCGACTTGTCCCCGCGAACTTCCACAAGTGGCGGTGCCTCATGGGAATCGCATAGCATCATAACTTGCTTATACGATTTGCAATACTTTATTATTGTGATTTAGAACTTGTTGGTATCTAATCTTCTTTATTATTTCTTATGATTCTAATATAAGATGTATTTTCTGGCTCTTAATCGCATGCCTCAATCTCAGCAAAGGCTTCGAAGGAGCTGCCGGACCCTCGAGTTCATTTTTCTCTTGGCTTAGGGCTTAGGGTTGGAATGTTCCCCCTTATACTAACAGTCCTTAATAGGGATTATAGTACCCCCTATTAAGCCCCATTATAATCCCTGTTGAGGACTGTTAGTACAAGGGGGAACATCCCAAGCTTAGGGAATTGTCAGAAAGCCGACCCCCCCCAACAAAAAAGGAAACCCGAAACCCTAAACCCTGGTCATCCGCGATGTTCACATCTCGAGGCACCCGAGCCCGAAGCCCTAAAAACTCCGCTGTCAGGTTGCAAGCACTCGCCGAGCAGGTGAGAGCGCCCCAGTCCTGAGATACGCCCAGGGGGGGGGGGTAGGGTTTTCTTTAGGGTTTAGGGTTTAAATCTAGGGTTTAAGGAATTCTGGGCTTCGATGTCGAACTGCCTGCGTCTGCGCGTCAAGTCCCAGTCAGGCCATCAAGCTGTCAGGGCATCTCGAAGCAAAAAACAACGGTGGTAGTTTCTTTTGAACTTGACGCTTCGAAGGGGCTTTTGCGGCCAGATGGTATGCGCTTGGGAATTAAGCCCTAAACCCTAAACCCTAAACCCTAAACCCTAAACCCTAAACCCTAAACCGACCCTAAACCCTTAACCCTAAACCCTAAACCCTGCACCCGTGGTACCATGATGATGCAGCGACCAGCCTCTAGACGAGACGGGACCAGAGCCGAGCAAGAGGATCCCAAACCACAAAATCCTGAACCCTACAAGGCCCTAATTATAGCATTATACGATTAGTTATTCGAGTTTTTCAATATTTTTCACACGAATGAGTTTTTGAGCTCTCCTTGAAATTACCCTGAAAAGCTGCTTTGCGCATGTGCCGGCGTGTCGCGTGCTTGATGGCGAGTTGGGACCCTGCAGCGCGAGAGGGCTGAGCTGAAAAAGCTCAGGGTTTTGGGGAGGGTTTCCTGTTTAGGTACCCGCACAGCTGAGTGGTTCGGTTTAGGGTTTAGGTACCAAGGTTTCGACTCGCGCACTCGCTAAGGTATTCAAGGATTCTGTTCGGCAGCAAGGTTTAGGGTTTTGGGGTTTAGGGTTTAGGGGTTGAGGGGGCTTGGGTTCCAGCTCGGAGCTTGCGAGCCGGGCGGGGGGGGGGGGGATTGGGGATTCTGCTTTGGTTTCGGGCTTTCCGTTCCATCCAAGTAAATGCTCACCGGCTTGTAGAGTGGCTTTGTAGATTGGGGGTCAAGGATATGTAGTAGGCTGCGCAGGAGGTCTGGGGCCTGCGGTTGAGGGTGAACCCATTGATAGAGTGATGGAACCACTTTGCGACGTTGCAAGTTCTCTGGCCTTATTCATGCTTCATGTCACGGCATTCGGGAGCCTCGTTGGTTGAGCCCCTAGCTGCTTGTCTTCCCCGACACAAAGGACAGCAAACAGCAAAGAGGCCAGCCTCAGTTGACTCACGAAAGGTGACCTGGAACAGGAGATGCAAGACTCGGGGAGCTTGTACCATTAAATGCATACATATGTATATATATATATATATATATTCGTCTATGGTTATGTTCATAGAGTAACCGTAATGTACCATTACATATGTGAATCTATTGCAGCATTCTTATAGCATTACACTGTTACGGAGACTTTCACACAGTGGCTGCAAGCTTCTTGGGGCGTTTGGCTGAGTCTTTAACGTGCAGGTTTCCAGTCGCGGGTAGAGCCTAACGGCTCGGCCAGGAAGCTCCATGCCGGCTCTCAATTAATTGGGTTTAGGGTTTAGGGTTTAGGGTTTAGGGCTTAGGGCTTAGGGTTGAGGATAACCTTCGTAGGCCTTCCAGTGAGTTCGTGCCACGGACACTCCACCTAAGGACCTCAGGAGCCCCAACGACCCCAAACTTTTTGCCCAAGGCTAGATCCTTTGTAAACCAGGACACTTGGGATGTCCTTCTACTGACAGTCCTTAAGAGGGAATATAGTACACCCCCAGTATAATCACTATTCAGGACGGTGAGTATCATCCCAAACCAGAACACTTGAACATCTCATAGTGCTTCTCTTCCACCAAGTGCAGCTGCTGGGCTCGGTTGAGCTGCTCAGGAACAGGTGCAGCGATCGACTCCGATGGCTGCTCCTCCTCATGTTTCTTCTGGTTTAGGCTTAGGGTTTTCGGGTTCGGGCGCATGGTTGGGAGAGACTTCTGCTTGCAGAATCAGAGGGCTCTCAGAACCTCTCCATGCTTTGAAATCTTGCAGTGAAATCTGCCAAGATGACCCCCAAATCCGATGGCTCGGGGTAAGTCTTTCAGTCTTGCGCACATGGATATGCGAACTTAGACGGTGAAATTTGCGTCACGCTGCATAGTGTGGGCTATGGTGGAGGGGGGCGGGGGAGGGGAGGGGTTTAGACCACATCCCGAGTTTCTCACTGACCCCCGGCCTCGGGCTAGGGTTTCCTGCGCTCTCGGCGGCTCAGAATACGTATCGTCAGTTGAGTACTCACTCCTGGGTTTATATGTCATCTGCCAGCTTGCTCCTCCATGCGGCATCAACAAGGCTGGTCATCTGTGTAGTTCCAAAATAATGACAAGAGGATCCCCTGTGACGCGAGGAGCAGGACAGCAGCCATAAATAACGCATAACGTGTAACATACGCCATGATACATAGTACATATATATATATATATACACATACAGACATGCATACATCCTCTCTGGGTGGAGATACTCTGCGGTTGGGCGCCAGGGACACTCTGGGGTTGGGTACTCCAGGGACACTTTGGGGTTGGGCACTCCAGGGACGCTCTTGGGTTGGGCACTCCAGGGACACTTTGGGGTTGGGCGCTCTAGGGACACTTTGGGGTTGGGCACTCCAGGGACGCTCTTGGGTTGGGCACTCCAGGGACGCTTTGGGGTTGGGCGCTCTAGGGACACTTTGGGGTTGGGCACTCCAGGGACGCTCTTGGGTTGGGCGCTCCAGGGACACTTTGGGGGCTGGGCGCTCTAGGGACACTTTGGGGTTGGGCACTCCAGGGACGCTCTTGGGTTGGGCGCTCCAGGGACACTTTGGGGGCTGGGCGCTCTAGGGACACTTTGGGGTTGGGCACTCCAGGGACGCTCTTGGGTTGGGCGCTCCAGGGACACTTTGGGGGCTGGGCGCTCTAGGGACACTTTGGGGTTGGGCACTCCAGGGACGCTCTTGGGTTGGGCACTCCAGAGACACTTTGGGGTTGGGCGCTCTAGGGACACTTTGGGGTTGGGCACTCCAGGGACGCTCTTGGGTTGGGCACTCCAGGACACTTTGGGGTTGGGCGCTCTAGGGACACTTTGGGGTTGGGCACTCCAGGGACGCTCTTGGGTTGGGCACTCCAGGGACACTTTGGGGTTGGGCGCTCTAGGGACACTTTGGGGTTGGGCACTCCAGGGACGCTCTTGGGTTGGGCACTCCAGGGACACTTTGGGGTTGGGCGCTCTAGGGACACTTTGGGGTTGGGCACTCCAGGGACGCTCTTGGGTTGGGCGCTCCAGGGACACTTTGGGGGCTGGGCGCTCTAGGGACACTTTGGGGTTGGGCACTCCAGGGACGCTCTTGGGTTGGGCAGGGCGCTTGGGTTGGAGTCTAGGGACCTTTGGTTGGGCACAGGGACCGCTCTTGGGTGGGCGCTCCAGGCACGTTGGCTGGCGCTCTAGGGACTACTTTGGGGTTTTGCACCCAGGACGGGGTTGGGCACTCCACTCCAGAGACACTTTGGGGTTGGGCGCTCTAGGGACACTTTGGGGTTGGGCACTCCAGGGACGCTCTTGGGTTGACACTTTTGGGTTGGGCGCTCTAGGGACACTTTGGGGTTGGGCACTCCAGGGACGCTCTTGGGTTGGGCGCTCCAGGGACACTTTGGGGGCTGGGCGCTCTAGGGACACTTTGGGGTTGGGCACTCCAGGGACGCTCTTGGGTTGGGCACTCCAGGGACACTTTGGGGTTGGGCGCTCTAGGGACACTTTGGGGTTGGGCACTCCAGGGACGCTCTTGGGTTGGGCGCTCCAGGGACACTTTGGGGGCTGGGCGCTCTAGGGACACTTTGGGGTTGGGCACTCCAGGGACGCTCTTGGGTTGGGCACTCCAGGGACACTTTGGGGTTGGGCGCTCTAGGGACACTTTGGGGTTGGGCACTCCAGGGACGCTCTTGGGTTGGGCACTCCAGGGACACTTTGGGGTTGGGCGCTCTAGGGACACTTTGGGGTTGGGCACTCCAGGGACGCTCTTGGGTTGGGCACTCCAGGGACACTCTGGGGTTGGGCGCTCTAGGGACACTTTTGGGCACTAGGGATTGGGCACTCAGGACACTTTGGTTGGGCGCTCTAGGGACACTTTGGGGTTGGGCACTCCAGACGCTCTTGGGTTGGGCACTCCAGGGACACTTTGGGGTTGGGCGCTCTAGGGACACTTTGGGGTTGGGCACTCCAGGGACGCTCTTGGGTTGGGCACTCCAGGGACACTTTGGGGTTGGGCGCTCTAGGGACACTTTGGGGTTGGGCACTCCAGGGACGCTCTTGGGTTGGGCGCTCCAGGGACACTTTGGGGGCTGGGCGCTCTAGGGACACTTTGGGGTTGGGCACTCCAGGGACGCTCTTGGGTTGGGCACTCCAGGGACACTTTGGGGTTGGGCGCTCTAGGGACACTTTGGGGTTGGGCACTCTAGGGACGCTCTTGGGTTGGGCACTCCAGGGACACTCTGGGGTTGGGCACTCCAGGGACACTCTGGGTTGGGCACTCCACTGACACTTTGGGGTTGGGCACTCTAGGGACACTCTGGGGTTGGCCACTCCAGGGAACTGTCTTGGGGTTGGCCACTCCAGGGACACTCTGGGGTTGGGC